GCGCGAGGTAAGCGCGTGCGCGCGGCCGGCGGCGCGCACGTACCCGTGAAGGCGTCGCGGATGAGCACCTTGAGCCACATCCGGTCGCGAACCGCCACGCCCGAATCGCTCCTCATCATCGCCTTGACGACCGTCGCCATGTCGCCGTCCACGCTCAGATGCTCGTCGTCACCTGAACGCCGCGACGTGCGATGATGCGGACGCGACGACGCTTCGACGGAGTGATCGGGGGGCGCGCGTTACCGTAAGGTGGGAGGAGCTTCCCCGTCACCGCCGCCGTGTGGGACACCCAGGAGGCCGGGTCGATCGGACGCACCGGCTCGCCTGGAGGATGAGGATGAGGCGCGCGTCAATCCGGGCGCAACTCGCCCACCGGGTCTTTTCGGGCCTCGGCGGTCACTGACCTCTCGGCAAGGTGAAGAGGCCGTCGGGCGCCGGCTCCCAAAAGCGCAAGAATGTCAGCGACAGCAGGCTGGGCGCACGCGGGCACACGCACACGCACGCATGACAGATGCTCAACCGAGACGCTAGGAGGCGCTCGCGCTTACCCCGGCCTCTGGGCGGCATCTCGGAGGATCTGCGCGGCCAGCGAGCTGCTCGCCTTCTCCAGGCTCACCTCGTTCACCTGGCGAGGAGCGTCATCGTCGTCATCATCATCGTCATCAGGTGATGTGCCACGTGCCAGGTGACATCGTTGTGATGTGGTGCGCGTGGCGTGGCGTGGCGTCACCCGTATCAAGACGTCTCCGCTGCGAACGCGTCCGTCGGCCGCCACGGCGCCGTCCTCCGCGATGGATCCGACGCACACGCCGGCGCCTTCGTCCCGGCTTTGGCCAACCACGCTGATGCCCAGGAAGTCACACTTGTCTGCGCACGCGCACACACGTCCAGGGAGGAGATGCGGTCATGCGGTCGAACGCGACAAACCGTGGCCTGCCATATATGAAAAGGGGGGGGGGGGGTCGACTCTTTCCAGCTACTATCGCACGACGCATATATTCTAGTTGCATGACGTCGGGTGGACAGGGCCTATGAGGAGGCGTTGCGGTCGCTCTGGGACTGACGTCATACGACGAAGGCCGCGCCCATGCGTCGGTCACGCGGGATGACAAAGTTGCATCGGGGACGCCTTCACTCGCGTGACTCATTTGACCCACTGACTGGTGCCACTGAGCGCGACTTGGGCGACTCCCGTGAGTCACGTGAGCCAGGCGGGTCACGTGGCGGACGCGCGCACTCACCCATGTCCAAAGCGACGCTCAGCACGTTGATTGACATTGACGAGTCGCTCAGGCTGCTGACTGACTCGCACTGGGAGTCACACACACACACACACACAAAGCATCGCACGCGATCGTCAGGTCGTCACGTCGGAAGCCAGCTGTCAATGAATATTTCCAACACAACGCGTATACGTACAGCACGTAGCCTCTCCATCCCTTGTGGACACGGATGTTGTTGCTGCGACAAGGAATCCTGCTTTTCTGCTCATCTCACACACACACAAAGTTTGATTGACAGCAGAGTGGGTGTCCCACAACAAGCTAACAGCAACACACACTCAACTCAAGTGTATTTCTCGGGCACTTTCAAACAGCCATCCACACGCACCCATACACGGATGCAGGCGCACCGCAAAACAAGCACTCAACGGTCAAGCGCAGACATACGAGCTCAGACACGTGCACGCGCTCACACGCTTGGTGAAAACCCAATCACTCCGAGACACCAACAGGCAGACGTGCGCACGCCAAGAAAAGCGGAAGCCACGCACCTGGCCGTCAAAGGTCCAACGCGGCCGCATCAAGGCAGCGCCTTCACCTTCGGCACCGCGGTGTCCTTTTTCAGGCTCGACTTTGACGCGGCGGACAATGGCGCCGCGCCCACGTGACCGATGGCGGCCAATGGCGGCGCGACCGCCATCAAGAGCTTTACTGGAGCGGAAGATGCGGTCGGCCGCAGCGCCCGGAGGCGCCTTTGCTCACGTTGACGACATTGAAAGGCGGCAGCTGGGTTTTTTTTCCCCCACCCCCACTCTTTTTTATTTGCACAAAATCAAAGTTGCCTCGGGGAAGACGCACCCAAAGAAGAGGAAGGTGTAGCGCTTCGCTAGCATGTCGGCAGCAACGGCTTCACGGAAGCCAACCGCGAGGCACGTGAGGGGATGGCGGCGGCCAATGCGCGACTGTAAACGGCGGCGACCTGATGTGGTCGCGCCTTCGTCCTCGGAGCGGGAAGTCCACGCGGGCGCGGCGCGGGCGCAGGCAACATGGAGGCGAGCGCGTCCGCCTCCCTCAAGCCGACACGTCGACGTCTCGTAAGGGGACGACGGCGGCGTCGGGCGGCTGCAGGGGTGGCGCTGCGTCTGCGCTGTGTTGTCCCCGCGCCATGATTTGCTGCAGCGTTCGCCGCAGGTCGGGGTGAAGTCGACGCCGGGTCTGCCGGAACGCGTCCGCGGCCACGCCGCGCATGGCGCCCGCCGACAGGTCCTCGTACAGCGGCACCGCGTACATACGAGACGTCTGCGCGCACACAACGGAAGCCGCGGGTCAGCGAGACCGCAGAGCGCGAGCGGCGTCGTCGGCGCACTGACGTGTTTTTGGAGGAAGGCGGCGAGTCTGGGCAGGTCGGGGTAGAAGAGGCTCCGGACCACCAGCTGCAGCCAGCGCACTTGGACCTCCGCGTTCGGGCCGTCCAACAGCGAGGCGTAGCGCGTGCGCATTTGCGACATCGCCTCTGAAATGCGCACGCACAACAATTGCTCAAACATCGACACTTGACGCGCGCAAACACGCAGCAAACAAAGGCGCTCGAGCGTTTTTGTTTTCCGGGAGGAACGGTCGCAGCCCCCCGCCGCCCCCGAAGCGCATGGCCGCGCCGAACCTAGCATCACGTAGCCTAGCGTACCGTGCGGCAGCGGCGCCCGGTCCAGCATGCAGTCCAGAAACAGAACCACCTGGAACGTGCTCCAGCCCGCCACTTCCAAAAGTGCGGGCGCCTCGCGCGTGTCGTTTGCGCGGCCGCCGCTCCACGCGCGGCACGCTTCCCTCACCGGCCGGGTCAAGGCGGCCCCCGCCGACAGGTCCGGCTGGTGCGGCGGCGCCCCGCAGCCCGTCAGCCAGCGCTGGAAATCCACACCTGACGGGGAGCCGAGGGGCGGGGTCGGGTCACTCGGCGGCACCGGGGGGGGGGTTTTGCGGCGGCCGGTCCCAAACGTACCTTCCTTCTGCGCCGCTTCGGGAAAGGTCGCCAGGAACAAGTCCAGGAAGTCCCGAGCCACCACGCTCTGGAACTTGAAGCGGCTGATGTAGTCCTGTCGGAGGCGAGGCCTCGGGTGAGCATGCGCGCGCGGGAGCGAGTACGTGCGCGCGCCGACACCGACCTGCAGGAATCCGTCAAAGAGTCCGACGTCCCCGCACAGCGACGACAAGTAGGATACGAAGCAGAAACCTTTCTCGTACGTGAAAAGATTCATCAAGGTGCTCGGGTTCACGCCTGCCCCGACAAAAACACGCAAGGCGGGTGAGCGCGCCGCGACTGCGGGAGAGCGCGCGGGTGCGTAGCGCGCGCGCACGTACCGGGCTCCAGTTTGACTTGGAGCCGAGTGACGGGGTTGTTGTCGCCGAGCAGGCGCAGCTGCCTGTGCAGGGCGTCCAATCGTACGGCGCTTTCCAGGCAGGTGAAGGCGGCGCCTAAACAAGGCGAACGAGTGAAGGCGGCCGCACACCGTGCGCTGGGCGCGGCGCCCTACCGTAGGCCCGCGTGGTGATCCTGCGCTGCGCGTAGGTGGCCAGGCCTTCGCTGAGCCACATCTCCTCCCAGCTGGCGTGGGTGACGGCGTTGCCGAACCAGGCGTGAGCCATCTCGTGCACCACGTCGATCAGGAGGAAGTCGCCGCTCTCCAGGATGGACGCCGCCATGAAGGTCAGGCACGGGTTCTCCATGGCCACCATGGGGAAAGCCGGCGGCAGGAACACCAGGTCGCACCTGCCGACATCGGCATTAGCCGGCGCTCCGACAAGAGCTCGGAGCGGGAGGCGGGTCAACGAGCACCGTTTTGCGGCCGAGGCTTTGCGGCGGCTTCGGCCCGACTTTTGGCAGACACGAGCTGACGTTTGGCGGACGGACAACGCGACGGGGCTCGGTCGCGGCCGGGACTGCCGACAAGTCGAACGGGATGGCTCGCGCGCCAAAGAGTTTACCGTGTTGTCCCGTCCTCGTTCAAAAGAAATCGCTTCCAAAAACCAACAGTCTCTCGCCGCCCCCGGTGGCCGAGGCGGGCGCGGCAGAAGAAGCCGGCAGAATTGGACCGACGCCACGCGACAGCGCTCTTCCGCCTGCTATTTGACGGCGCGACGGGACAACGGCACCCAATGAGTCGTCGCGATTTGAGATGGGAACGCTTTATGTGGCGGCGCGGCTGAGATTTTTTTCAAAATGTCCTCCGGCCCCTCGCCGCCGGCCAGGAGGACATTTTGAACCGCGCGCGTCCGCGCCGTCAGCCGCCCGGCCGGCTCTCGTCGCGAGTGCGCCAATTGCGTCGCGGCGCCACTCACCTCCCCCACAGGTACTGGCCGAAGAGTCCCTCCGCCGTGGTTAGCAGGCGCTCCACGCTGCCCGCTAGCTTCTTGGCGGCGCACGACAGCAGACAGGGCTCGGCCCACACGCGGCTCCTGAAGGGACACGGGAGACCAAGGTGGGCGGCGCGTGATAAGTGGGGGTTGGGGGGGGGGCACAAAGGACAGCTACCTGGGGCCCACGTCGGCGTGTCGCAGGTTCCCGGCCACCAGCGCCACCAGGTAGGCCGGCACGGGCGCGTCCATGGAGAAGTGGAAGACGCGCTCGGCTTTGGAGTAGCGACTGCGGGACGCGCTCATCACAACTGTTGTGTCGTCCGGAACCTGACACACACACACACACGCGCGCGCACGCACAGTTAGGAATGACTTGTGGGAGCCGAATGCACAATCTGCGTTTCAGACCACAAGTGCCGTCAGAAACGGGTCAATGTTGCCAAGTGTAACAGTGCACTTGCTCGCTATCATTTGCTTCTCGTTCTTCCCGATCCTCGCGATGCGTTTGGCCCCAGTGGCCCTCGTCCATCCCGTCCTGCGGACTCGGGCCCCCCCGGCTCATCCTCTTAAGCCAACAGTCTCCAAGTTGGCTCTTCAGACGGACGGCGATTTCAAATCGGAGCGGCAAACGGGTGCCGTTGTCCAATCCAGCTTCTTTCCTCTTTCGTCGTTGGCGCCTCGGTCACATCCCGGCTGGATGACCGCAACGCGCTTGACTTTGGAGTCGGGCACTCCTCCATCGAGCGTCGCTCGCCGCTCGCCTTTTGACCGCTCCTCGGAAGAGGGAGCGCCGACACTGACTCGCCGGCTCATTTGAAAGTTCTTTTGAAGCCGCGACGATTGGTTTTCCAATCTTGAAATGAGCCGGCCCCCGCGCCCGACCCCTCGGAGCTCGTGCGCACCCGCCCGCAGCCTCGGGTCCGCGTGGGGCCAAACGCTACTCCAGGTAGCCACAACTAAGCGGGAGCTCCGAGGGGCGGCGGCCTTTTCTGTTGCCGCTCCCTCTCTTTGGAACCGACGTTCGGCAAGCCGCCTCGCTGCCCATCTTTACATCTCGTCATTTTAAGCCTTTGGCTTGTGACTTGATTTTTAGTTGGACGCTTTTGCTGCTTTCGTTGTTGTATGAATTCTGTTTGTTTCACGCCGCAGCACTTTACAGAGAGCGGCGGCTGTTTTCGAGTGCTCGAGACATTCACTCGGGTTGAGTTGAGTAGTTTTGGCTTCGTTTGTACGCACGGACCGGGTCGCGTGGGGTCAGAGGTCACTCACGCGAATGGCCGCCGTGTAGGTGCTCTTGACGGCTGGAGAGTCGAAGCACGGGAAGAAGGAGCGGTTGGACACCGAATGACCTTGAGTGAACACCAGAGGGCGATCTTGACCGCACGTCAGCTCGGAGTCCAGCCACCACATCTGGAACACACACACACACACACACACACACACACACACACACACACACGTTGGCTTCAAATGATAACACACACCTGTGCGTGCGTGCGTGTGTGTGTGTGTGTGTGTGGCCCCCGTTGATGTGTTGCTGAGCATGTCTGCGTGTGCTTGCGTATGTAGAGTATTTGTAACGCATATGCACATGTCGAGACGACTCCAAAGATGGCGAAATGTCTGGACAACGGGCACAGTGCAACGATCGTCGGTGGGGGAGTGCGACCGCCGTATTGTCGCTACTTGACAACTGAGTGGTTTCCCTCATTTGGTGTGATGGCGCGCCAGGGCTGTTTTGCAGCCCTTCTCAGAAAAACGAGCTCGGCGCGGTTGCAAGTTCCAACCAAAAGCGGATCGAAATTGAATTCTCATTTCACATTTTTGCCACGAGGCCGAAATGTTGGAGGAAGTGGGCGAAGAGAGTGGAAGCGGACGGTCGGGAATGGAGGGCGACCGACACAACAAAAGTCCTAGCAAGCGCTTCCTAAGTGGCGAGACTCGTTTTGGAGTGGGAGAGGGTGTCGACAATTGTTTTTCTTAGCGGGGGCAAAGAGGAACTCCAAACAGATTTTTTTTCCATGAATTTAAAACTCGATTAAAAAAAACCACAACCCTTGACAACGATGAGATCGGCACGGTCCATCTCATGGCAGGCTTTGGCTCCCGAACGCATGAGGGAAACGCTCGTTGAATTCCTGTTGGACGATTGTTTGACGGTCGGCGTTGCGGAAGGCGCCTTGTTCCAGCCGCAGCTGTCGTGAAAGCTGCTCGATCAACAAAGACGCATTCTGTTCCAGTGCAATTTCTGCTTTTTGTTTTTTGCCTCGGCGCATCGGTTGCCGGCGCGCGGCGTCGGTCGGCAAGTGTTTGAATCCAAATCATCTCCAGAAAGTACATGACAACCACGTCGAGTGCGACGATTTTTGAATGAGCGCAAAGTTTGTTTTCACCGACGCGGGCGCCATTTCAACTTGAGGCGTTGAAAGCACAGATCGCGCGCGCGTCCGCGCGTGCTCTCACCGCAGGTCCGTCCGTGGCCGCGTACCTGACGGCGACCCGCAGGGGCGTTCCGACCTCAAGCGCTTCGGGAAGGTCGATTTGGAGGGCGGAGCCAAAGCTGGCAAAAGGCTCCAGGCGGAAGGCGAGGCAGGCCGGCTCTCGGGCGCCGCCGCTCTCGCAGTCGACGGCGCGGACCGCCAGGGACGGGTGCGCGTCCAGCACCAGGGTCCGGGCTCCCGCGACCAGGGGCAGCAGGTCCAGAACCAGCCAGCCGCTCATCTCCTTCAGCGCAAAGTTGACGCGCAGGTCCAAGTGGAAGTGACGCAGCCCGAAGTCCACAAAGTTGGAGGCGGACGCCACGTCTGCGGGGGGCCGCCGCCGCCAGCCCGTGGTGTAGGAGGAGGAGGCGGCGGCGGCGGCGGCGGCGGCGGACTCCCCCAGGCAGCGCCCTCCTCCGGAGGAAGACTTGCGGCAGCAGCACAGCGAGGCCGGCGAGGGTGCGGGCGCAGACATCTCACGCCAACGTCAGCGAACGAAAGACAGGTGCGACGCAAACAAAAGCTCCAAACGCAAGATGCTATTTAGCATTAGCATCTTTAGCTCAGCCGCGGGGGTCCCAACTCAATGAGGAACTTCAAACTGCATCCCGACAGGACCACATCCGAAAGTCGACTTGGAAGGCTCGCTCGGCGGACACGACGTCCTCGACGATGATTGGCTGAAGGTTAATGAGCCATCGTCTCCCACGTTAGCTCCGCCGCGGGGGGGTCCAAAGTCAACAACCAACTTCAAAAAAGTCCAAACGCGCCACCCGAGTCCACTTCACAGCAGAACCCGCGAGCGCAACCACAAATCGACTCGGCTGCTAGTTGGCAACGTTAGCACGGTGAGCTGTCGGGCGTCCGATCCTCGACCGCTTCCTTCACCTGAGCCGGCTTCCGCGAGCTGCCCGCCGGCCCGCACCTGCTACGCGCGCGGTTCCGACCGGGTCCGTCCGCTGCGGTCAAGCGGGCGGTCGTCGTCGGCGCGCTCCGCCGCGGGTTGCTTCGACTCTGCCCTTTCGTGTTCGGGACGCTCGGAAGCTCGCGAGCCGGCAAACAGGAAGTCGAAGAGGCACTCGGACCAAGTTTGTCGTGAGCGCAAGGGGGCGCGCGAGAGCACGGCGGGGCGGGGTCAAAGGACGTCGTCACGGCAACCCGCGCGACGACTTTTTTTCCCTTGCGGGCATCGAGCCGAATCACTCCGCGTGATTGAACGTTCGCAAATCAACGCGCTGCAATTTCAAGTACAGAACAAAAACAAATATCAAAAAGGACAATCATTTGGAGTCGTCTAATTTATAAGTCAGTTAAGACTCTAAATGTCAAAAATATTCTTGGCCTTTTTAGATTTCACAAACCTCAAAGATTGATATCATAGTAGCTATACATTTAACCAGTGATTCAGATAAGGTTTTGTCTTAAAATATCGACATTTAACTGCCCTATAACAACAGAACGCGGATAAAGTGTTCCCGCCCCCCCCCTCCAAAAAACCCTGAATGGACCTCATCGTCAAAGGCGACTACGGCTCAATGTTTGTTTGGACCTCAGGCAGCCCTGCAAAAGACCCGCACAATCTCTCTCTCTTTCACACACATTCAAGAGTTTCCGTGTCACAAAAGCACACAGCCATTCAGCTCAAAATGAAACTTTAGTCTCAAAAAAGGCTAACGTGAAATTGGCATGAGAACGATTTGGATGTTCAGACGATCAAACCCCCGACTGGCAGCTAGTGAAGGTTAGCAACCAATTGAGCATGCGGGTCGTTTCAAAATGGCCGCCAGTGCCGATGGTGAATGGGTGCAGACTGCGCAAACAACCCACACAGAAGGATGTCCAGCGTTGGATCTTTTTATTGTTTATTTACAAACAACAACAAGCTGCTTGGGGGGGGGGGCGGCTGCTGCGGTGTTGCTCACACTCGGGACGGGTACAACATCTGAGGAAAAAAAAAAAAAAAAAAAAAAGACATCAGATGTCACCAAGCTTGGATGAAAATACACACGTGAATAAGACAGAAGGAGAGAGGAAGTAGCCGTCTGACAAAACATTTTCTTTTTACTTCCACCAATCTGGATCACAGCGAGTGGAAGAAAAAAAAAATCTAACTTTGCAACCTCATGCTCATTCGAGCCTCACTCAGATATGAATGGACACGGACGCACGTGAACGTGGCTGACTTCTAACGTGCGCGTGTGTGTGAGAGACGAAAATCTGAAGTGATTTAGTGGGCAAAGCGGGCCAGTGCAATTTTACGAGGCCGTGCTTTCTCTCACCCAGTGAGCAAATGGCCACATGAGTTGCCATCCCCACAAGTCACACTCTCACCCACCCCCACCCCAAGTTGACAGCGATTCACCCGAGTGTGGCGATGTGGTCGTACCACTCGTATGCGATGTCCGATGGCTTTGGCAGGGAGGTTGCTGGTGAACTTTGCCCTCACCATCCCACTGTTGCCGTGGGCACGCATCACCTTGCCCCAAATCACACGCGTCTTGTTGGGCTTGCCGCCAGGCGTCACCGTGTTCCTGACACACACACACACACACACACACGTTAGTGCATGCCAAGCACAAAAGAATACAAAGGAATGTGAATGCCTTTCTGTGACTCTCCCAGTCCCTCCGTGCAAGCAGCTAACGAGGCCGCGCCTGCTCTGAAATGGCCATACTGTCACTCACGACGACGGTGATGCTTATGACCTCAACCGAGCGCCAAGTTCGTCAGATAATTTTCCTTTTGCGATGCGTTTGTGTACTTGAAAATGGAAAAATGTCTTGGGACTGGAGAGCACTGTTCTTGGGTTAAATGACTGCTTGGCTGTTTTTGGAATGAAGGCAGCAAAAAAATAACAAAAGGAGATATTTTGCTACAGGTGTCACAAGAAAGAGACTGGAAGAGTAACACAGAGAGGCACCGCCTGCTGTGGGCAACTTTTGGGCAGTGTTACATGCAGCAAGGAAGGAAGGAGTCTTACTTCTTGGCCTTGTAGACATAAGCGCATCGTTTGCCCAGGTAGAAGTCAACCTCGTTGCGGCTGTAGCAGCCTTCCAGCTTGAGCAGCGCCGTGTGCTCGCGCTGGTTGCGCAGGCCGCGCTTGTAGCCCGTAAAGATGGCCTTGCTCCACAGCCTGCAAACGCCACACGCAGGCACACGCCATCAAAAGGCTAGCTCGGTCCTGTCGATAGTCAAGTTGGATCGCTGAAGTAATCTGACTAGTCGGCCTTATGTTTCGTTCTTTCTTCACGCATTTAAGGCAGAGCAGAGGGGCATGATAGGACGTCACGTCGGATTTCTTCAAGGTTACGCGGTTGCCACCTAGTGTTCAGATAGAGTAACTATAGTTGAAACCCAAACGTTACTTGAAACACCGTTATTTTCCTTTGACATTTTGTTACGGAAATTAATGACGAAATGAATAATGGCATGCTCATTCTCCATCAGGATTGGCAACCCCTTGAAACCCAAATGACATTTCATTCCATTTGGTTTCATCGTAATTGGACCACAAGGCGAGTCGCGATTACCTTTGTGCTTAATCCATATTGGCCTTTGCAAACAGATGCTTTGACTTGGGCAAAATAGCATTTGCCGCGAGTTCCTGACATGTTATGGACCAATGCGGTAACCGAATCCTCATTTTTTGGGTGCATTTTCCGCAAAGTCTATTTGAAACAATGTCCTCTTTTTGAATAGTAAAGTGACAGAAATTTAACAAATGTTCTTTGGTTTAATCTCATTCAACAATTAAATGAAAAAAAAAAGACAAGAATCAACTTTACCTTCCTGGCATCTTCGCTTTTCTTGACAGGAGAGTTCACCTGCGCATGCACGCGCGCACACACACACACACACACAAAAGATATGTAGCACCATTTTTAAGACATATTTCCACTGCACGATGTAACTATGATGATGTAAACAAACAAAACTGCCTCTAAAAATCCCCTCCATGTACACGTTCCATGAGTTGTCAACTTTTAACTTTGGTCGAGTGTAAATCTTATTTCGGCAAAGGTTACCGTTTACCGGCGTCAGCATGTGATCAAGCTGCCGGCAATAGCCCTGCGTTTCTTCCGTTTAGTAGTACTGACTGTATCGATGTGGGAACACTTATCTGTGTCGCTTTGAACCCCAGTAGAAGGCTCTACGCTGTCCCGAACCGCTGAACCATGTGAAATCAGACTTGTGGAGCGGAACACACGAAAGCTGCAAAGCTAACAAGCTAACGTTCCACATGACAAGCGGGCGGTCGTCAGGCCAAAAGCCACTTTGAGCCTCCGAGATCGGTCAAAAGCTCACGAGAGCAGCCGGTCGAAGGTAGCCCCAGCTAGCATTTGCCAGCAGAATCCATGCTCAATCTAGGCCATCATAAAGCCCCCAAAAAGCTAAATCCGCACACGAGGCAAAGTTGCGACGACGACGAGTCGGGAGCACAAATTAGTCACGTTTGCCCAAGACTTTTCGACATTTTCCCAAGCGACTACGGCTTCTTACCTGCTCCGCTAGCGGAAATATGGCGAAAAAGACTGCGCGAAAAGAATGCTGGGAAACTATTGCCAACATAGGTGGCCGCGGAGCGCCTGCTCACAAAAAAACCAAACATATGTTTCAAATACATGCGAAACTTTATCTCAACAGTCAGCTTTTGTTGGTTTTAATGTTTATTTTTACTATTACACTCGGAAGCAAGCGCCCCACCACCACTGTGACTTTGATACAAAGATTTACACCCGTTGTCTTTATTACCCGCATCGTTCTATCACCTCAATTACAATTGGGAGTAAATAAAACATGTATGAATGCATTTTAAACATATATTTTTGGTCCAAGTCATCGAAAAAACGACTCAAAATAAAGGAATGAGTAAAATAATCGTTAGCCGCATCCTTAATTGACACCCACCGTGTGAACTACCTAAGTCTGTCTTCTCATTTTCATGACATTTCTTTGTGATGGTGTAAATTATTTGGATGGCTCGTGGCTTTAAAGAGTTTGGTGTAGGTTGTAAATAATCATATACAAGGATATTCCAATATTTATTTTTAACAGCAAGAGACAAATAAGTGAAAAGGTGTCCAACACTTTCGCATTCAAAAAAAAAAAAAAAAGTGGAATTTTCCTGGAAGTTCGACCGTTGCCGCGGTAACCAACTCTTCTCTTACACACTTCGTATGGAGCCTGCGAGAATTACATACCTAGTTTGCAACACGTAAAACGTCACCAGGGGAGGTGTAGGCAGAAAGGCCGCGTCATCTTTATATACACATCTACACACGCTTTGTATTTACACAATACATTTGTACACAAAAAGGCAGACGGCGCAGCCTCATCCATCAAATGTCCCGCAACGCAACAAGGGGCCCGACGCGATCACGCGACCGACAAGCGAGGCTGTGATCTGCGCCCCCGGGCGTTGGTACAAGCGAAGAAGATGAGAAACAAACAAGGTGCAAAATGAGACACAAAAAAATGTGACAGGGACAAAAAAACGAAACAAAAAAATCCGACACATCCGCATCTTTACAATAGCATAAGTTAGCATTGCACGTGTTGAGCTAGCGCGATCTCACTTCGCCAGCCAATCGCACAAATTCAGATACATTTCAATGTTATTGTTTTAGTCCGATTCAGTCCACGTTTTCGCAATAAATTGCACTCGCTGAGACTAACAATTTACTACGAACAAAATAGCTACGTTCATCGCACAGATGACTACGTGCCAATCAAGAAGACATATGTAACACCAAAATGTCAGTTCCTTGGCTAACTGTTTTCCCCACGCTAGTTGCTAACATACAGAAACGTATTGCTGGCAAACAAAAAGAAAAACATTCACGATCAATTTATAACATGGTAAATTTCACGTTTGAATGTGACTAATTTCATGGCAAAATGTCATGTTTCAAGTGAAGATATTTTTTTTCACGCCTTAAGTTTCACACGAAAACACCCTACCACATTTTTCCCATGATAAGTTATCCCTTGTCAGGTTATAATGCGAAACCGATCATGTTTTGACGGCCAGGCTACTGGCAGGCCGAGTCGGCTTTTTTTGGTCTTAAAAATAGTTACCAGCTAAGTAACTATGCTGCTCTTGTAAAATACCGCATATAAAATAAAACAAAATAAATAAGAGTAAGTGTTTAAAAAAAAAAGACATCTGAGGGCTCCACCAGTGACTTGGACTGAAAGAAACTGCTTTTTGGCGGGCGAAGGTCAAGTCAAACTTAAAACGTGGCAGCAATACGCTTCGGTACTAAAAAGCAAACATGAAACATTTGTTTTGTCACTAGTGTTAGCACTGAATGAGGTCAGCGATTGTAGCGCGGGGTCATGTTATGTCGATCGTTTGACGTCACGCACACAAGCGTGTCAAGTCAAAACAAAAGAAAAGAAAAGGTAGACACGAAATTGTGCGACTTGCCGCTGGGCTGCGGTTGTGGTACGCTAACGCCAATGAGGGCATCGAGATGGCGGATCTTCACATGCGGACTACATGCCAGGGGAGGGGGTCGTCATCGCGGCGGTGGCGACGCCGTGTCTCGGAGGGGCCAAGTGGAGAAGCGCGCTGACGGTGGCGGCCACCTGGGGGAGCCCCTCTTCCTCCAGGATGTGAAGGGGAAGACACAAGTCACTCTGCACAGGCGCGTGCATGCACACACACGCGCGCGCGAGCGCGCACACAACAGGAGGGGAGGCCAAAAAGAAAAGATGGCAAAAAGATGGATCAACACAAGTGAAATGAGGCAAACGCAAACAAAAAAGACAACCAAGGATGGACGGGACGATGGGCTCAACCGGACGGACGCGCTGGTCACCGGTGCCGCTAATGAGGCGTTTCGCACAGCCTGGCCGAAAGATGCTCGGGACGAGCGCCCGCTCGTACCCCTGCCCGACGTTGTCGGTCATTCGCCAAGGCGTTGACGAAAGGAAGCAAGAGCGCAATTGTGATGCGGCACGGCCACGTGAGTCTGAGACCGAGGCGACCGTGTCTCAGCAGGCGGAACTTGGACCTCTTTCTTTCGTTCGTTCCAAATTTCAGTCTCATCAAATCAACATCGTCAAGTGTTGAAAAATGACATGTTGTAAAAAGAGCGGCTCGGGACGTCCACGCGGGAAATCCCCAACGCGCGGCGAGCGGTCGAGGGCCGAGCACTTATTCCACACCTCCGTGAGCTCAAAGTGGCCGGGACTTGGCGCAACTTGACATCAACAGGCGCCGGTTCGTCCCAATCGCGCGCTCGACACGCGGCTCAAAGGTACGGACCTCCGTACTCCTAAGAATGACGGCGGCGGTGACGCCAAAGCCTCCTTTCGGAAATGCGGCCGACCGTGGCGGCCGGTCCCATCGGGGCTTTCCTGCGGCAACGCTTTGAAAACAGCGGAGCGCAGAGGCGCTTCTGAGTGCCGAGGAAAAGGAAGGAGGGAGATGGGAGGACGAGACAAAAACAGCTTGTGAGCAGAAAAGATGCAAGTGAAGACGGACGGTCACATCATCATCATCAATAAGCCGCCGTCCTCCCGCTCTCGCTTCTCCCCCCCCGAGGGATCGCGCCGCGTCCTCGACTGGCCTGCTGAGCAATATCCTCCTGGATGGAGTGCCGACATTTCAGCGATGCAAACCTTCGTGGCCCAAGTCGCAAAAGGAAAAGCGCCAAAGGTCGGGACCGATTCCTGGCGCTTTCTATCTCCGCGGCCCACGGCCAGGGCACCGCAATTGCACAAACGCATACGAACGGCGCAATCCGAGTCAAGCGTTGACCTCGCAGTGGATTGATGCGGGACGGGAGGAGTGAGCCGATCTCTTTTGAGCCTCTCGTTGACATCCAAACTTAGCACGTCGCCGACGCGTGCGCATTTTGAGCATGACGTCTCTGATCCACTGCCGAAAGGACGAGTGGCTCAGCTTGCACGACTGCCCGCGTTTTATTGTGTTCGATTATCTTGTTCTTTTATGTTGACCGTTCTGTTTCAGCAGCAGCCGTTGCGAAAGCGCTCGACCAACAAAGATGTATCGAATCGGACAAGTACGTGATATGTCAACCGAGCGGAGCACTTTCCAAAATTCCAACGATTGAAATATTTGGTATATTTCAAGACTGAAATGAGGAAATGCTCTCTTAACGAATTGTGCATTCCCTGCTATCCCTTGGGCACCCTTGGCCCTCCATGCAGCTGTGGAGCGCCATCACCCTCATCCTCATCCTCATTCAGAGGGCAGCATTTGGCGACAGGCGCAGCGAGTTTTGTTACCTGAGCGACGCCCATCCTACGACACGCCTCCAGGAAGTTCTCCACGTTCCGCCGACATTTGGCCATGGTCAGTTTGGGCTGAGGGGACACGCAGCCACACGCGGGGCGGTTGGCAGAGCGAGCGGCGGGACGCCGGACGTAAGAGAGCGGCGCACTCACCACAGCGGGGGAGGGCACGTGTATGCTGGGGACCGATCGCGGCCGCACGTGGTTGGCCAGGTGACACAAGACCACGCCGTCCGTCAGCGCCGCCCCCAGGTCGCTCGGCAACGACACCTTCAGCCGGCCCTCGATATTCTGACAAACGCAAACCACGCGCATGTGATCAGTGACCGGCGACCGGTCCCGCGTCGGTCCGCCGGGGCAAAGCCACGTCCCGTCGCTTTCTTTCTTTTGGCGCTTTGCGTGACCGGCGCGGGTAGAATCGGGCGTTTTGCGGCTCCCCTCTTCAATGCATTTAAATTCAGCGTCGCGGAGACCCATCTCCGCGACGCGCCGGGTGCCAGGCAGGAAGGAGATCGACACATTTACGGTTAAAGCAGCCGCAAGATCTCCACTTGCAGATGGCGTCGGCGGCCGCGCACGCGACGACCGACCCCTTTGCGACCCCGATGGCGCATATACGGGCGTGCCACCCCCGAGGCGCGCTGCGCGCAGCGAGCGCCAACTCCGTCTGTCCGCCTGCGGCTCCATCAAATCCACTTCAATCGTGTTGCGCCACGAGCTCGAGCCGGTGTTACCGAGTCTAAAACCCGGTCGACTTTTTGTTCCCCGATAGCCAGACGCCGAAGGGCCGCAGCGCCCAGCGAGGTGCACCGAGGTCCCGAATGCGGTAGTCGAGTCTCGCCCCGCCACCAAACTCTCTCGGGCTCGTTTTCCTCACGGGCCGCTTTGGACCCCCGGGCCTTGACTTTGACACCGGCGGTCTAAGATAACGGAGCCCGACGCGTCCGCCCCGGACCGACGTACGCGAGCGCCCGATCCACCGTCTGCGCGACGTGTCTAAACAAACAATTAGGCGACCTTCCTGAGCTGCTCCACCAGTTGGGCGTCGTGTCCGAGCGCGGCGGACGTGGCTTCCTGCGGGTGCTGAGTGGAGGCGGGGGCGTCGCCTAGAGGACAAGCGCGCAAGTCACCTTCCCGTCACCGGCTCGCCACTTGCCCCAACCCCGAGGCGGCGCCCGCTCACCCCTCCTCTTTTCTTCGCGCTGGCTGAGGCGATACAGGAAGCTCTCCGGGCGCAAGCCGGCGCCGCGACAGGCAGCGGCGTCCCCCGAGCCGGGGTGAGCGGGACCGGCTGGAGATACAAAGCAGGCGCGGTCAACGCCAGCGGAGAAGGGCCGACAAAGGCTTCCCGCGGGCGGTCCCATCTTACCGCTTGGCGAAAGGCCGCCTCGCTCTTCGCCCTGTCGTCACAAGCGCGCACGTTAGCGTCGGCGGCAGGAAACGGAACAAGTTTTGCATCAGACAAGCGCTGCCGTTTGTGCACTTTTCTCACACACACACACACACACACCGGGTGGCCGCACTTCAGCGAAGAAAACACCAAGGAGCAATCTTCGGTCTTTGCAACTACTCGACAAAGAACGTCGCGGTTGAAGGCAGCGAGTTCGGAAAGCTCATCATCACCTCTGGCTGCCGCACTTGTCCCGTGGTCACTGGCGGGCGGGCGGGCTTACGTTCCAGATGCCGAGGCGGCATCTGCAAAGTGACCGTTTGCCGCATCGGTGCTCTCCCTTTTATGGGCTTCGCGAGGCCATTGTGGGTCGGAAACGCTCAGATATGTCCATTTTCAGCCGAGCCGAGATTGGCTTGACGCGTTGTCGGGCAGGCCGTCGGTTGCCGACTATTCAAGCGGATCGCTGTTCTGAATTTGATTTGGAAAATCATTTGTTTGTGCACGAAAAGGCAGCACACAACCGCTCGGGAGATGAGCACCTTCTCCCTCAGCTGCTCCGAGGGGGACAGCTGATCCAAAGTTTTCGATTTGCCTTTCTCCTCAGGCAAAAATAACGTCTATGCGCCGGCTGGAAAAGGGAACCCGAGCGAAGCCCTCCCCGCCTCGGGGCTCGGCCCGAAAATAATTCAGACGGAAATTGCGCAAATGGAACGTGGCGCGTGAGAGCACAAAGCAGTCAAAGGGCTCACTGCACTTTGGGGGGGATCATTTCACAAAGACGGCAAGCACTTGTCACCTTGCAAATTCACCGAATTCTTACCATGAAGAGGGCGGAGTCATCCGTGTGGGTGGAGCGTCGACAGGGGTAGATGTTCTACGTACACACGCGCACACACACAATTGACAGATCCACGCAGCCACACCCCCCCACAATGTGAGTGATGGATGATAAGGGGGCGGGACGTGAGGAGGGTGTGGGCGGGGCTACCTTGGCTTCCTGACCGGGCTTGTTTGGACTCTGCGGACAAAACACACGCGGGAAAACTGGTCAAGTTTCACAGCTTGGAAGCCCCCGTCACACCAAACAAAAGGCCGCTGCAAAATTCCTCTTCAAGCTCGGTTTCTTCGCCTGTTCACTCCTAGAAGGAGCAACCCATTTTTTCCTCTTACAAGCTTGCAAAGGGCAACTTTCAAAGTCGTCCCCCACCGCTCCCCACAACAAACAGTTTGTTCCGTGTCCAGACTCATCACCGGGGGAGAAAAAAAACTAAGGCGAACGATGAATGTTCCGTTTGAAAAATCTCCCGGAACGTCCCAGCCCCCGCGCCGCGCCGCGCCGCGCCGCGCCGCCGTACGAGTGGAAGCGTTTGTTTGCTGAGGGGGAGGGGATGCGCGCGATGG